TCTATATTAAAAAACCTTTTCTTTTCTTCGGGCTTCATTGAGTTGACGGGGAAAGTGGACGAAATTTCCTAACTGTCTTGCAAATAATATGGAGACATTTTTCACGGTTCGAGAAACGGAAGACCCGCAAGTCACCATGAACTGAACCTGGCAGTCCGGATTATTGCGTAAATTTATCTCTGGCTTTAAATGAACAAAATAGTTGCTATAACCTTGCCTGGAAACTATTTGACGCATAAAACCTAAGCGCAATTAGCAGCTGGAAAATTGGGGGGATAGGGAGTCCCCTATTATTTATTCTATCTAAGTCTTCAAAAATACGAGGTAGAAGAACGTCGGTGATGGTATGTTTGGAAAATCGGTATCACCGACGAAATTCTTCATCAGAATAAAATTGTAATGGATTCTGAATGTCTCGAATGTACCTTCTTGGCCTTGGTAGCACAACATCATCATCAGCGTCAATTATCTCTACAAATAAATTGTCCAGCTCCTCCATACTAATTACAGTACTAATAATAAACTTTAGAACTTTGCAAATCAATGGAATACAGTCATAGAATACAGTTCACGTAATGACATTTATAGAAAAAGATTAGGAAACCAGTCTCAAGGGACCTCTGGACATTCCTCAAGTCAAGGAAGGAAATGTGCATAAGCGGCGATAAGGACGCCTTGACAATTTTGCAAGACAATTTACGGCCAAGGTCACCTTTAAGGAAGCCTCAGCACTTAAGTAGCCACTATGAATACCGGACTAAAATTGTAGAGTGGCTAATTAAGGTGGATGGTGAGCTTCCTTGATAGACATAAATTGCTTTCTCTGTCTCTGTTTCAGCAGTCAAAAAACACTGATGATACCATATTTCATCTCCTGGATGAGCTGTATTAGAAGATTAATGACGAAGAAGTGGCCGCGGTAGTTTTTTGTGACCTGAAAAAAGCTTTCGATTGTGTCTGTCATGAAGTAGGTACTGCTTCTAGGGGTTCAGTACTTCAGAGGGGTTAGATATCACTGCAGGAGTGCCCTAGGGATCTGTTCTATTTCTAACATCAATAAAAATACGAGTAAAAACAACGAGTATCAAAACGCAAATGAACAATGAGCACTATTTTTTTGAAAAAAATTTCATGACACATAAAAAAAGGGTTTGTGTGCCTCTTGGCGGCCATTTTAATTCAAGTTTGACAGCATCTTGGACAGTTCAATAGTTTCATTTGCGGTTAGGATTCTGAACTGGTTCGAAACTATTTCGCATGCGCAGTTCAAGTAAATGGCGTTCGCGGATCACAAAATTCCGAACTTTAAGTTACGGTTCTGGATTCGCAGATCAACCATCAGAATCGGTTCGGAACCGTTTTTGAACCAGTTCTAGCGGTCCTAGGCTTTTAGCAGCAAGAGCTTCAGGAGTGACACATAACGTTCGCTTACGTATAAGACAGTCTGGAGAAGTCGTTCCAAAACTGTTCGCGATAAAATAATGGCGTTTTTCATTTTTTTAATGTGTCTAAATCAATGGTCTAAATTATATACAGGGTGATTCAAAAGTAAGCGGCATCCTTTGGGTGGCGTATTCCTTGCATAAAAATAAGACAAAAAGTTCCTATTAACATGTGTCCGGAAATGCTTCCTAAGGGAGCTACGCCCCTTCGAATAGGACACCTGAAAGACGTGTTTTTCTGTATAACTTTGAAACCCTTCACAAATGGATTTTGAAAATTGGTGTAGGTATTTTATAAACATTTGATGGCAATTAGGATACTAAGTTGAAAAAGGAAATCTTAATCAGTATCACATACTGGGGAGGGTGAAAACATCCCTATTATTTTTTACTCGTCAGGTTTTTGCGAAACATACGCAAATCAGAAAATTTTCAAAGTCAATTTTCTCGTAAACGGTACGCTGTATCGAATTGAACCAAGAGTAGCTTTTCTGTGTAAAAAAACTATAAACTTTCTGAATTTTCAATCAGAATCGCAAAAATCTGACGAGTAAAAAAAATAGGGATGTTTTAACCCTCACCCTCCCCAGTATGTGACGCCATTGATTAAGATTTTTGAAATTTCAATTTAGTATCTTAATTGCCATCAAATGTTTATAAAATACACCAATTTTAAAAATCCATTTGTGAAGGGTTTCAAAGTTATAGAGAAAAATACGTCTTTCAGTTGTCCTATTCGAAGGGGCGTAGCTCCCTTTGGAAGCATTTCCGAACCCATGTTAATAGGAACTTTTTGTCTTATTTTTATGCAAGGAATACGCCCCCGAAAGAATGCCGCTTACTTTTGAATCACCCTGTATTACGAAAATGTATTGAAAATATTTTAAGCAAAAACCAAAGCATCAAAAAATATATCTATTGTTACATTGTTACTTTTGAGAGGGCGATGGAGGGGCGCCAAAATTTGGACTTGCCTTGGGCGCCGAGGATTCTAGTTGCGGCCCTGCGCTCTAGAGAGACTGGAAATAACTCTTATTTCACCAGCCATTGTGCCCGTACATTCGCTGCATATGGTCTTCTTACCAAAATCGCAGGGAAAGCCAAACAACTTTCCTTTTTCTTCCCTATTTAGGTAAAATTTACTGAACCAGCAAACCTACATTTTTGCTCTAGGAACGTCGGGCAAGGGATTTACAGATTTCTCTGGTTCAATTTCTACTCCTAAATCTGCAAGAGTTGAAAATGAGTCTTTGTAACTCAATTTTAACTCTAAAATTGCAACATTTCAATGTTTTATCTTCGTTGAGTTCAACTTCAGATAATTCATCCCAAATTGCTTAAAAAACACACGATTCTATTTCTGGAACTATATAAGTCCAAATGAGCTGAAATTCTCAGGGATGTAGTCCTTTACTGGAATAAGAATCGCTAAAAATTTCAGCTTTCTATCTATAATAGAAAAAAACTTATGACTTCTCAAAGTTTTCTAAAATCTAAATCATAAAGTAGCTAAGGTCCGTTTTACCAGGGTTCATACTTGACCTTGAAACTTGAAAAAAAAGGGTTGTCGTAGATTAATTCATATGACACATTCAATTTTTTGACAAATAAAAATGAATGAGTTTTGGTTTAAGAACCGACGTACCTTTTTGACGTCATTAATTTGTTTCAGTCAATTTTTATTTGTTAAAGAAGGAAGGCAAATGCTGGTGACAAGTACAAACCCTGGCGAAACAAACTTTACCTTAATTAGTACCGAAACAATGAAATTTCAAAAAAAAAATTGTTGAGTTGTGTGTCTTGATGGTCCTTTGGGGCCCTCCAAACTCCATACACTATTCTATGAAAAAAGACACTCAGAAAAATTGAAAAATTTATAAGTCATCCCAAATTGCCTAACACGATTTTATTTTTGGAACTATAAATCCAAATGAGCTGAAATTTCCAAGAATTGTAGTCCTCTACTGGAATGAGAATCGCTGAAGATTCCAGCTTTCTATCTATAAAAGAAAAAAAAGTTATAACCTTCTAAAGTTTCCCAAAATCTAAATCATAAGGTATTGCTACCGCAGTAGGTAGAACCTACAACGATGAAATTTCAATTTTTTTTTTTTGTTGAGATTTTGTGTCTTAATGGTCCTTTGGGAACCCCATACACTAAATTATTCTGAGATTTGGAGCCAGATTTATTGATGAAAAAACGCACTTAGAAAAATTTAAAAATTGATAAATCACCGGGCCCCAAATAGCCTAGCAAGATTTATTTCTAGAACCATAAGTCCAAATGAGCTGAAAATTTCAGGGATTGTAGTCCTCTACTGAAATAAGAATACAACTGACCAAAACTGAAACACAAATGAGATTTTTTGAACTACAACTAACAAAGTTGAAATACCAATAACTCTGTTAGAAAGTTTTTACAGGTAATGACCAACGTGAATTCAGGAACACAACGGTCCCTGTTTGGGAATCGACCCACTGAGCAGTGGACTCAGGCTTCCCGTGCCAATCCTTGACACGTTTCGTCCTTGTTACGACTCATCAGAAGGACATATAATAGGTTGAAGCTCCCTGTCCAAGCAAAATTGAACTTTGGACAGGGAGCTTCAGCCTATGTTCTTCTGATTAGTCCTAACAAGGACGAAACGCGTCAAGGATTGGCACGGGAAGCCTGAGTCCACTGCCCAGTGGGTCGATTCCCAAACAGGGGCCGTTGTGTCATTACCTGTAAAAACTTTCTAACAATTTTCATTGCCAACGAAAGCTCAGACCATTCACTGTAGTTCAACGCCGGTAGGGGTATTTGCCCTCGGAGTAGTTGTTTCTGACTGATCATCGAAGTTCACCAATAACTCTTTCTGAAATTAAACTGGAATAAAAATGATACATTCTGAAATACAAATGGAGATAGTGTAGTAGTTCACATTTCAACTCTAGAAGTGTCGATAGAGAAATTTCCGTGCTTCTCTGGTTCAATTATTGCTTATTAGAGTCAAAAAAGAATAGCTGTAACTCAATTTTAACTAAAATTGATAACATTTCAATGTTTTATATTGATTGAGTTCAATATCCGCTTTAGTAGAGCCAGAAATAGAATTTTCAAACTTTTCTACTTCACATTTCAGCTCTAGGAAACTCAGGAAAGGGATTTTCATGTTTCTCTGGTTCAATTTTAGCTCTAAAATCTGCAAGAGTCAAAAATATGAGTTGCTGTAGCTGGTAACTCTAAAATTGTCAAAACCTCCAGGTTTGGCCTATTTCACAATAAGACAGTCATTACTGAAAATAATTATTTCAAAAAACTGATCTCATCGATTGGAAATTTAAATTATTTCGCACTTACCTGTTGTTGCGGTATTTAAATTGGAAAATCAAACTATCAGTTGTTCCTTAAAAACAATATGTCGTAAATCAAAATTGGTCAATATAAAATTGATTTTTATTATCAAATTAGTTAATTTTAATGGAAAGGAAAAAGTAATTTTCTATACAATAGAGATATTTATTCCAAAAATAAATTATTTACAATAACAATTTTTAACATACAATAATTGTCAATCGATCAATAGAAACAGTAAAATGATAATAATATATGAATAATTAATAATAATAATAAACATGGATTTATAAGACTTAAATTATTATGCATGTGATTTTAATAAGACTTGTGATAAATGTTTAGGAACATTCAATCAGTTTATGCAAATTGAAGGTTCTGATTCGATTTTATAAAAAATTTGTAGTGATAGATCTATCGTAAACAGCCTCGTCACTTTCCGGACTGATTCGGACGTGATCGACCGAGCAACGTGGCTGCGAATGATTGGCGCTCGAGTCAGGCGATATAGAGTGATTGGCTAGAAAACAATGAGGTCACAAAATATCCAGGACATCCAAAAAACTTACCGCTCGTTTGTTGACTGAGCAAAGGCAACCCCAAAATAAATCGGATGTTGTCAGTCAAATGATCAGATTCTTTCAATTGATAGAAAATACCTTCTGCTTTGTTGAGCATTAGAGACATGTCGAGTTTGCCATTTAATTCGTTGATATGCTATCAAAATAATGGTTTTATTAAAAGTTGAATTGACTGAAGTAGGTACCTACCTTTAAAATTTCTGTGAATCCATAATTATTTTCCATTAGTGCCCCCCTTTCTTGTTCCAAAATGGCTACACCAACCAATAAATGGAAATTCTGACACGGATATCCGGTCCATAAAACCTCCCAGAACCTGTAAGCGCACCCTTTAATTCAATTCTAAGTACTTTAACCACAATTTAAAAAAAAAAAAGTCAAAATTTTTCAGTGTCAAGTCGATCTGTAAAACTCTCCTAAAAAAATCGAAAATTAGAAACCTAAAAATTTTAAAAAAAAAAGGAATAAACCAATCCAATCAGAACAAATAAATCTACCTTTACAAGTACGAGAGTTATACAAAAAAAAGAATGAAAGCGTCCATTCGAAAAAAAAAACTACAAAGAAGAAAGAACAAAAAACGTCATTGTCAGAAAATTTGTCAAATTCAAATACTGATGAAGATTTTTCAAACTCATTGCCAAAAAGATTTCCACAAGACAATAAATATGTAGAATATGCGAAGGATTTTTATATTTGTACTCAAGATCGTTTAGATGCAGGATCATCTAACGAGACTCAAAATATGGATACAAAAATAAATAAAAAACAAGATAATATAGAAGAAAATATTTCAACTAATAATTGTGCTGGATGCAGATATAAATTTCAAAAGAACTCCTACTCCTTGGGATGCAAAGTTTGCGAACAATGGTTTTGCCTGACTTGTTTAAAATTATCCAAGAAAGATATGAATGAAATAAAAAGAATGAAAATTGATTGGGTTTGTTAGAAATGTATTACGAAAAAAAAAATAATAGATATTGATTTTTATAGTCTACAAGAAGAAAACAAACAGTTAAAAAACATTATTATAGAACTAAAAAATACAAATGAAACTTTGATAGAAAAAATAAATATACAAGAAACAAATGAAAATATCTACTTTGCAAATAAACTTGAAGAAAAAATTGATAAAATATTAAAAGTACTGGAAAAAAATCAGAAAAACCAAAATATATCATATGCAGATGTAGTACAAATACCTACAAAAACGAACAATCAAGTAAGAAAGTATCCTCCATTAATAATAAAACCAAAAGTAAACCAACCATTCGAAAAAAACAAAAATTTTCTTCAAAAACAAATTAACCCAAGCTTGGTTAATGTATCAGTAACAAAAATAAAAGAAATCAAAAATGGGGGAATCATTATAAAAACAAAATCTGAGGAAGAAACAATAAAACTTAAAAAAATAACTGAAGAAAAATTAAGTAACAACTTTACATGTCAAATACCTCGATTAAAGAACCCCAAATTAGTAATGTTGGGATGTACAGTGAAATATAATGAAGATGAATTGAAAAAGATTTTGGAACAACTTCAACTATTAGATTTAAATGACAAATTCGAAGTGAAATATGTAAGAAAATCCAAGTATTCAAACAAATTCATTTATAACATTGAAACTGATGGAAAAACGTTTTTTAAATTGAACAATAAAACAATATTATTAAACTGGAACCATTGCTATTTTAAAGAAGACCTAAATATCATGCAATGCTACAAATGTTGCGGGTATGGACATAAATCCTATAGTTGTGAAAAAGATGAGGCATGTAAAATTTGTTCAAAAAACCATCAACATTGGAAATGTAACGAAAAAAATCCAAAATGTATCAACTGCCTAACATATAAGAAGAAAAATAATACAGTATCAAATGCTGAACATAAAGCAAACAGTGACATGTGCCCATTACATAAACAAAAAGTCAAGGAAGCCAAAGAAAGAATTATTTATTCCTAAATTATGGGAAACCCTATTAAAATATTATATATTAATGCAAGATCACAGAAAAATAAAATGGAAGAAATACAAATTTTGATTAAAAAAGAAAAAATTGATATAGTAATAAGAGCAGAAACATGGGTGAAGAAACAAGAAATTCAATACTACAACAAGAAAAAAAAAAGGAGGAGGTTTGGGTATATTTATCAAAAATAATCTAAATTTCAAAATAAAAGAAATATCAGAGAACTCATTCTCCTACATATGTTTAGAAATAACAGAACCAAAACTAATTTTATGTGGCATATATTCGTCGCTGATCTGACAAAGGGGCGTAACGGTCAATTATTCCATATTGGAGTTAAGTTCGCCGAGTGATTTCTTAGAGGCGTAAGTACACAGCAATTGCATATAGGATCTGACTGAAAGGCCTATATCCAAATATTAGACTTACACTATTTTGTTGGATCCTACATTGCGTATTTTTGGAAACGCTGATCCGATTAACCCGATCACCAGCTTTTTGTTTTTCATCTTTCATCAATATACGCGATTGATAAAAAAAAATAATCGAATCAGCGTTTCTGCAACTTTCTCTCTCAAGAGAAATACCTTAAATACAATACCACAACCTTTACAAAGATGTAGAAAGTCTGTATCTATAGTGTGGTCAAATTAGCAGTTGGGGTGGAACAAATTAAAGACTGGGGTTTTCAACGAAAATGTATTGTTTTTATGGTCATTGATGACATAATAAAAGTCCCATAAAATCGAGCATAAAATATTGCAATGGCAAGTTAGAAAAAAATGGCTACCATTTTTAGTTGAAAACCTAAAATTATTTCCTCCAAAAAAACTATAATTAGATCTTATTCTTGATTTTTGTATTAAGTAGGTTTGTGTTGTTTTTTAGTTGGGTTCTCATCAAACCTTTTTTGACTTCAATTGATTATTTTGACCCAATTTTTATCCCTGAAATTGTATTTTCTAACAGTTTATTATAAGATGAATAAACTGCGCCTTGAAGTAGTAAGCGCAAGCAAACGATAAATAGAAAAGACTGCCATACTTAAGCGAATGGGAAACAGCTAACAGATCTAATGAGTAATGATTCTTTAGAATGAAAATCTACAACACAGATTCTCGAGAATGACAACCAACTTAACAGACATTTTTGAGGATGAGAAGCCACACAAGAAATTCACCAGAAATTGTTGAAAGTGAGAAACCAAACAACAGAGATCTTCAAGAAAAACAGCTCAACAAATATTTTTGCCAATGGAAAACAAACCAGCCAAATTCAACAGGGATTCTGATTCTCTGAGATTGAGAAACTATGACAGATTTAACAGAAATTCTTCAGAATGAAAAACTAATGACAGATTCTCAAATTCAAGAAGTCTTTGAGAATAAGAAACCATGCAATAAATTCGCCAGAAATTCTTGAAAATGAGAAAACATTCAACCGAAATATTTGAAAATCAGAAACCAAATCTACCAAAGATTTTTCAGAATGAGAAAAATCCAACAGAGATCTTTAAAAATGAAAAACATCTCAAAAGATATTATTGCAAGTTTGAAACAAACTAGCCAGGCCTAAAAAACAAAAAATCAGTTGGCACTGATGAAATTCCAGTGAGTCTACTAAAGCAGACTTCAAACATAATTTCAAAACCTCTTGCCTATATAATAAACCTCAGCTTTGAAACGGGTAAATTTCCATCTGCCTTAAAGTTTGCAATTTTCAAGCCTTTGTATAAAAATAAAGGTGAAAAAAATGACCTGAAAAACTATCGCCCAATTTCGCTTTTAAACAACCTCAGCAAAATATTTGAAAAAATAATGCATCAACAAATGACAAATTTCTTGGAAAGTGAGCACATCCTTTCAGATTAGCAAAACGGATTTCGAAAGGGTAAATCAACGATCAGGGCAATCTATCAAACAACTAAAAAAATAATTGACACATTGAACAGGAAACAAACAGCCGCAGCGCTATGCCTAGACTTGACCAAAGCTTTTGACAGTGTCCACCATGAAACTATGTTAAAAAAACTGGCTGCATGTGGCATAACGGGCACGGCTCTGCGTCTCATTGAATCCTTTTAAGAAGGCAGATGGCAATGCACAGACAAGATGGACAAAAAGTAAGATCAGAATTTGAACTAATCAGCAGGGGCGTCCTTCAGGGAGCTGTTTTGTCTCCTCTGCTCTATATTTTATACACCAATGACATAACAAATATTATACAAAACGACAACATAGTACTATTCGCTGACGACAAAACTGTTCTATATGATGCACAAAATATACAAGCGATAGAAAGAGGCATTATACACGACTTAGATAGATTGACAGAATGGTTCGAATCAAACAACTTAACACTTAATATAAATAAAACACAACTGATTCACTTTAGACCCAAAAACACAGAAAAATTATGTGTAATGTATGGAGGGACGGAGCTAGGGGCTCAAGACAGCGTCATGTTTTTGGGTGTTGTCTTGGACAAAAAATTGTGCTGGGAATCTCACATAGACAAACTTGCGTCAAAATTAGGTCAATATTGCTATGCACTTAGAATTATTAGAGACACAGTGTGTCTGTCTGCTTCTCTGACTTCCTATCACGCCTTTGTACAATCACGTGTAAGATATGGTGTCATTTTCTGGGGTAACTCTACATACGCCGAGAGAATACTTGTTCTGCAAAAGAGATGTCTTAGAACAATTTTAAAACTAAATCGCAAACAAAGCTGCAAAGCAAATTTTATTCAGTATAAAATTCAGACAGTCTACAATATCTATATTCAGGAGAGTATTGAATTTGTTATAAAAAATCCAGATCTATTTGAAAACCAAAGAATCGAGCACAAATATTACACAAGAATATAGTTATTTACGAAAAAATATAACTTTTAATATTATAAAAATATGGAACTCATTGCCTATCACACTGAGACAAATGCCTAACAGAAAAATTGCGGGAAAAATTAGGTTACTTCTGGAAAATCGTGCCTACTATAGTGTTAACGAATTTTTCGAGGATAAAAATAAATCAATTTTCTTGAACTGATCTAGACAGAATGCTCTGACCAATTTTTTGGATATCTTCATGTGTGTTTATGTTATTTTCTCGGTTATTTTATCATTAAATTATTTTTTTTCCTATGTCTTCGTCATAAAAGTCGCATAATATTTTAGATGCTTATTGTTACAAGCTTGTATGTGCATATGTTAGTTTTAATCTTGCAGTCTAATTATTTTATTTTATTTATTATTATTTTTTTAATTTGTTTGTCTATTTTTTTTTATATTGACGTGATCTACACCTGAAAGGGTACAAAATGTATTTTTATATTTTAAAGA